TCAGCAGCATCTATCTCACTGATAGATGCTCGGAAACTCATTCCACCTGGCTCTGAACATAATGAAGAGCGGAGTCAGCTTAAGCGCAAGCTGACAAGAAGTCTACGCAATGATCGCGAACAGTGGTGGGTAGCGAAAGCAAGAGAGATGGAAAAGGCAGCGGCAATAGGTAATAGCAGACAATTGTTCAGACTCGTTAAGGAAACCGGAATTAGGAACCCGACCGTTAGCGAAACAATCTCAGAGAAAGATGGACATATTATTCATTCTCAATCCAGGAGATTGGATCGATGGGCAGAACACTTTAGGGATCAGTTCAACTGGCCTTCAGCCACACTTCGGTTTCCCACGATCTCCAGTCAACCTGAATGGCAAGTTAATGTAGGTCCTCCGTCCCTTTACGAAGTTGAAAAAGCCATAGGAAATCTGAAACGAGGGAGAGCAGCAGGCCCTGACAGGTTTACTCCTGAGATTTTTAAGGATGGTGGTCCAGTATTAGCAATGAGATTAACTGAGGTCTTAGGTAGAATTTGGGAACTGGACGTAATCCCATCTGACTGGTCTCAATCACTGATTGTGCCAGTCTATAAGAAAGGACAAAAGTCCTCTTGTGACAATCACAGAGGAATCAGTTTGACTAATATAGTGTCTAAAATATTAGCTTCAATAATACTTCGACGCCTAATCAAAGCTCGTGAAGAGCAGATTAGAGAAAACCAGGCGGTTTTCGACCTGGACGTGGTTGTATAGATCAGATATTCACACTACGTCAGGTTCTAGAACACAGACACACATTCAGACGCCCCACAATGGTAGTATTTCTCGACCTTAAGGCGGCATTCGACTCTGTTGATCGTGAGGTTCTATGGCAGTGTTTGTCACTGAAAGGAGTACCAAAGAAGTACATTAACCTTATAAAGGCTCTCTACTCGAACACAACTGGTCGAGTGAGAGCTTATGGCGAACTGTCATCAGAATTGATTACCTCAAGTGGTGTTCGTCAGGGCTGTCCACTCTCCCCATTCTTGTTCAACTTTGTGGTCGACGTACTTTTAGAGATAACACTCTCCTCATCTAAATTTACAGGGGTTGAACTTCTACCGGGAGGTTCACTTGTTGACTTAGAATATGCTGATGACATAGTTTTATTTGGTGAAGACGCTGACAAAATGCAGAGTCTTCTGACCACTCTAAGCAACAATGCAAGCATGTTCGGGATGCGATTCTCTCCCTCGAAATGCAAAATGTTGCTTCAGGATTGGGTTACATCGACACCCGAACTAGTGATAGGGAGTGAAGTAGTTGAGTGTGTCGACCGCTTCACTTATCTTGGAAGTCTCATCAGCCCTTGTGGTCTGGTGTGTGACGAAATCTCAGCACGGATACAGAAGGCTCGACTAGCTTTTGCCAACTTGCGTCATTTATGGCGTAGGCGAGATATCCGTCTATCAACCAAAGGACGTGTTTACTGCGCAGCAGTTCGTTCCGTCCTACTTTATGGCAGTGAAACATGGCCGGTAAGAGTAGAGGATATTCGTAGGTTACTAGTATTTGATCATAGGTGTCTTCGAAATATTGCTCGTATATCATGGGACCATCGAGTAAGTAATGCAGTTGTTAGGAAACGGGTACTAGGTAAGGATGGCAAATCAATTGATGAAGTAGTGAAACTTCATCAGTTGAGATGGCTGGGACACGTGTTACGTATGCCCAACGACCGACTGCCTCGACGTGCTATGTTCAGTGGTATAGGAGTAGGTTGGAAGAAAGCTAGGGGCGGCCAAACCAAAACATGGCACAAGTCCATGAAGTCACTGACAAGTGGACTGAGTCATGTTGGTAGGTGTAGACTACCTGGTTGGGGACCGCGAGATGATAGCAACCGATGGTTAGAGACCCTGAATGACATGGCTCAAAATCGTTTGCAATGGCGCAGGTGCATCCACTCTTTGTGTTCTCCCAAATTCTAATCTTCTGAATTCTTCATGTCCCTTTTTTCCTCTTTCCAAATTTATTTCACTGGATTATACTCTTTAAATAACATCTCCAAACCCTAATCTTCCCGATTACTGCTTATACTCTTATTACCTCTACCACTACGGGATTTGAATCGACCACTGCATCTCTGTGCTAATGTGGTGTGGCAACTCGAACTGATGTACGTACGTACGAAGTTCTACGTTGTTACTGACTGACTGACTGACTGACTGAGTCAATCCTTCTGGGGTTTTGAACAATCTACGAAGTATGACGGAAGCCAATAGTTTGGACGCGATGGGAACTAGACTTATACCCGATAATTGTTCCATGGATGATGTGAACCTTTTTCAAAGATAGGGACAACTATCGATTCATTCCACGATGTTGGAACCAGACGTTTATAAACAACTTAGTCGGTTCCTAACCAGAAGGTTGCCACTATCCCTAAAAAGGGTCGCAGGTAAGCCATCTGGGCCTAGTGATTTGTGGAGCTTCAAGAGTTGAAGTTCCTTGAGGACTGCAGTCTCGTTAGGTGAACCAGTCGTCACAGGCCATAAAGAGCAGGACAATCTGACGGATGTTGCCGATGCAGAAGACCAGTTGGACTGTCCATCGTTCAAGACGTCGATAAATTTTACTGATTGGCATCCCGTCATTTTCACAGATTGTTTCACTCACACCAAACTTCTTGCTTCCAGTGACTTGTGTGCGTTGGGAGAGCTTCTGGCAGTTACTGCTTCCAACTCATTGTCACGCTCTGACTTCTCTATCCTTAAGCAAGGTGTGCATAGTTTTATTACATAATAGTCTTCGTCCATGGTCAAACGTGCGGTTGGTCAGAGTAGGCCAACGTGCTTCAAGGAGTTGTAGAAATCCAGTGCTTTTAAGTGGGACGTTTCGTGAAGAGGATAGCGACTTTACTCGCCATTTTCATGGCGTCATGCAAGTGCAGCCAATGCTCATCTATACTTTTCGGTGGGTTGATAGCTGAAAGCATTGAATATCAACTGTTCACTTGGATATCGCAACGAGCATAAATTAAAATTTGTGACATTATATGACTTGGTAAAAAGTTTTTGATATGAAGTGCACTCCACTAATTTGTATTTGTGTTATTACGGTCGGTTAAACTGGTTGTTGATTAAATATTTTATTCATTCTATTCTGACATTACAATCGCATTTTGTTGACCTGTTGATATTTAATAAAGTGATTAGTAGAGTGAAAATTAGATCTAATAAAATTGCTCATGATATTATTGTGATTCACTTCTCTCTAGTAATGCTCTCATGTGGCCACGTTCATACGACCAACTTCGTAAACAACACCCACACCACAGGAAAGCAGTGAGTAGGACTTCCCTGATAGTGGTTGTGTGCACGTGGCAATGTGAGAGCATTGCGAGAGGGAGAGTTGACTCCCCCACTCTCGGCCGTACCAGAGCATTTGGGGGCTCTGGTGTCTCCTCATTTGCGAATAAATTTCTCGCCTTTTACAACCTTAGTACGAACTTCACACTTTGTATTTTGACTGCTTACAATTAAATAAAAGGGTTGGAGTAGAGTTATGTAAGAACTGCTGATGCTTTTAATTTCACATAAATAGTAGCAAATCTTTTGAATTGAGAAATTTATCAGCGGCAAAGTTATCACCAAAGCCTTACGAAATAAACTATAAAGCACATAGAATCTCTCTATCCTACCACTCATTACTCAACAGTTCTTAAATCAAGTTCATTTCAGTGATTCCCGTGTAACTCGAAATGCGTTAAAGTTGGTAAATAATTTCTTCGCAGTTTAATGAACTACTTGTTGAACTTTAAGTTTTTTAGTTTATTCAATCAAATTGACTTTATGGTTAAAAACAGAAACAACTAGAAGAGTCTAATATTTTGTTTACTCTACCGACAAAATACACTTTAGAATGTCACTCAGTTGTAATCAACATAAAGCAAAACACAAATATGCATTGGTTTAAATTGCCATAATAAACTAGTACGAGACAAAATCAACAGCAAGAGTACCAAAGGACTACAAATAACTAAAATAACAATGATATTAAGAAATGCTAGGAATTGGAGAAAAGGAATAAAATGCATATATGAAAGGAATACTGGAACCCAAGACCTAGGATAAAACAAAGAGTGAGTGTTTCTGAGGCATTGAGATCGATCCTGAAACATGTCACCCAAAGCCTTCAACCACTGATAGCGGTTACTCTGCGGCTACCGACACAGCCTTTATATGCTGTGGTATGGTCGAGAGTGGAGAGAGTCTGTTCTTCTTCTAGAAATGCTCTCGCATGACCACGCGTATACATCCACTACCAGGTAAGTCCTACTCAATGTCTTTCTTCAGTGAGGTCGTTGTTTACGAAATTGAGAGGATGAAAAGCGAATGTTCGACGCTTGGACCGAGTTGACGGATACAGAGGATCCACCAAGGGGAGTTAGGAAACCCTGATTCCAAACCAATGGTGCACATGGACTCCAGGATCCTGAATGGAAAAATGGCGTACTAACCTATTGTTGGTCACCGACTATTGTGAGACCGCATCTCCTAGCGTTGCCTTGTGAATCCGACCTCTAGGTCAAAGGCTTGGGGAGTAGCCCCTTAAGGAAACTATTTGTATCTGGGCACCCGGAAAGTATATCATTTCACACGAATTCACTGGTTTGCATAGCGCACATATTTATTGCCCCTTTGTACTAATATTTATTTTTAAATAAATAAAGAATTAGTTTATTCATTAGGTAATTGAAGCTATTATTTATACACAAAATAGTATAATTAATCGTTCTTCCTTAATTCATAAATGAATAATTCTAGATTAATTATTGCTATACGACAGTAAATGATCCTTTTATTTCTAGTCATCATAAAGAAATGGTCTAATCATAATAATTATGTCATTTAACTTCGCGTATTTAAAATTGATATCTTTCTGATAGGCTAAAGTATTTTTTCCTCATCATTATCATCATCTTAATAGTTTCAATTTTTCTGCAATATTTACCAAAGATGCAGTCTTCTTCACGATCCATTATTACAAAGAATATACCTACTCAGATATCTTTAAATCGTTCAACAATTGGCGATGGAATAGTTCTAGCATGTATGACTTTTCCGGGATCTCGTGACAGTAAACGATTACAAAAATTAATCAGTTTACTCGGTGAAATTGGACAAATTAATTTAGAAGATCATGAAGAACAAATATGTGATAGTATGAGACTTCGATTACGATTATTTGTCCGACGTGTTATTAATTTGGTAAGTGAGAATATTTACACATTTTTTACTCACACAGTGTGTATATTTTTGTATGATACACTTTTTATCGACTTACTTGAACAAGATATCTTCTGAAGTAGGCGGCTATTTGTTAAAGCACCTATTATTTATTTACAAAGATATTCTTCTATCAATCTACTGAATTATATACTTTTATGGTTAAACTACAACTATATTATAACGACAGCTTTGAAGGCTTATCAATTAGGAAGTAGTGTTTAGTTACGTAACAATTTCTAATAAAAATCAATCAAATTAAGATGGATAAACAGTTTCAACATTGTAAGTGAAAGAATAAAAGTTAAGTTTAAAAATTAGGAGTCCGACTAGATTCAGTAGTCAAGTTTACAATTGTTAAGGTTGGAAGTTATAGAATCAGGTGTTAATGATACAATATATTTGGAGTTTGAGAATACTTTTTGACCATAAAAACACTTGATTATTACTTAAAAAGCATCATTTACGTTCAGGTGCAGTCTATGTCAAAGGCGCGTATTTCTTTTTAATTTGGCTTACGCACCATGATAAATTCACAATGTGTTCGCGTGAAATTTGTTTGGTTTTTTTTGACAATTTTAAGTCATTCACCAGTAGATGTACGGAAAAATAACCGGAAATGCATGCTAACGGACACATACTGAACATCGATAAACGTATAAGTTACACTTATCCTATTCTTTGTTATCCCCCACGTTTTCAATGTTGCACAAAATCCGGTAAACAATGTCTTATATCCGACTGGTTCTTTTAAATTCATCGGTAGAATATAGTCTTGCCTATTTCTACTTTAAGAACTTTCGAGGATAAAGCCTTCCACAAATCGTAACTTTTTAATGTCTTGCCTTAACAACTGCCGATAAAACAAAAATGTTCATATCGTACAAATTTCTAATCAACAAACAAACAAATTATTATAGGCAGTGCAATACTAGGATTGTTAAACAACAGCAAACAATACATTTAAACTTGGTAAAATGATGTAAACATGTCATGGTAAACAAAATTTGTATCTCTACGATAAAGCATTTTGTACAGTAAACATTGTCTTTCTCCAACAGAATATTTCATTGTGACTGGAAATATTTTATATGAACAAAACAAAGAGATCGCTCAAAACTAATAGACGAACAAATAAGTTATTTTCTCTAATCTGATTGTTAAGATTTTTCAACTTCGATTATATTTTTCCCTCCTAAGAAGCCATACCCGTGCTTCCTCTCCAAAAATGATGTTAACTTGTTAATGGTTCTTCCATAGGGTCGTCTTTGCCACGGATTGATCTCAGTTGAGGCAGTTTGGGAAACGAGGGAGCAATAAGCAACTGCTTCGTCTTAGTATTGTATTCCTGAATAGTAAACACCAGCTATGTTGCCAGGGATCGATCTCAAGACCTTCAGGCTTTGCAGGGAACGTTAAGCCATTAGGATCTCCAATTCAGTATCCAATATTGCAATCCTAACTGTAATCAGTTTGTAATGTAGCACAGCTACTGAGAATTCATCGGTGTTAAAACTGTTATATTAGATGTCGACCCGGTGGTTTACTGCATGACCTGTGTTATAGCGGAACAAATAGTAAAGAAAGTATAACTTTGGGGACTAATTTTCGGGTTACTGTTTGTATTTTTATTGTTCACTTATTAAACAACTGTATTATTGTATTTGCCTTTACTGATTGTAAGCTTCCAATAGATATGTTAACTAATGTTATGCGTCTTACTACTCCCTCATTATTACCAATTATCCACTCACCATCTCCTTCTGTTCCCTTCCACTTTTGGCGTAGCAATGCTTAGATTGTAAGTTCATATTCATGTTGTTGTGGAAGGAGGAAATTAGTCCATGTTATTGTACGAGTTGATGCACATAAGATATAATACTCCACAACTCCATGATGTATTCCATTATCGGACGGAAGACTGAGTCAGAAGAAAGGTATACATTTTTGGCGAAGAGTTAAAATTATTCTGTCTCAACTCAAGGTTAACCTGCCAGTCAAAGCTTAGAATATTATGAGATAACTGGAATAGTATATTTAGGATAGAGAAATATTTCAGGCTTCTCATTAACGGATCTTCTCTTGGTATACCGACTAACCTTACAGTCATGACAACCCGAAAGGCTCTGGTTCTGATCTATGGCAGGCTCATTGATGTGCAGTGTTAGGAAGTTTCATACTATGAAAAATCAATCTGTATCAAATACAACTTATAGATTAAACTAATCTCCACAAGATCCCTTCTAATGGATTTTTATTGTTAAGTGTTGCTTTCTTTTATTTTTACAGCTAGATGAATACAAGAATGAATCTATTTATCTAGTTAGCTTCGGTGTTGGCTCGTTACTTATGTTATTATCTGTTATACATATACTCTCGTTGAATAATTCTCGTTCAGAAAATAATTATACTAATGGAACAAGTATAAATGGAATTATTTGTGTTGGTTTACCATTAATTGGTTTAAGAGGTAAACGAGGTGAATTGAATGATCCACTCCTATCGATACCAGCTTTACCAATATTATTTATTATAGGCGCTAGAAGTCGACTTGGTGGTTATAAAGAAGCAGTTGAATTTCGAAAGAGATTATTCAATGCTAGACAAAGACAACGTCCACTAACTTCTCGAATCGATAATAATGACAATGATAATTTAATTCATTTGAATTATACTAACCAATTTCGACACAAAATCAATGGATCATCTAGCATCACTGCTACTAATACTACTACTGTTGTTCATGATGATAATAATGAATTGAATTCGATCTCACCAACTTTTGATTTATTAGTTATTGGAGGTGCCGACCATTTACTTCGAATGCAACCGTCTGCATGTAGACGTTGGTGTACTACACAAAGTATGGTAGATATTAGAATGATGGTAAGCTAAACTAGGCTTACCTCAACGCAATGTATCTATATATTCGTTTGTTCTAACTCCATTTTATAATTTCATTATTACTATGGTTTATTTTTGGTTTGCCAATAAAATAAAACTTTATATAGGCTAGTACTTAGCTAAATATTAGAAATAGTACATATTTTTGACCAAGTACTTCATTGACCACGATAAGAATAAATGAAATTCAACTACACCGATTGGCGGTTATTGTAGTGGTTGTTCGCTGGGTAAAATTATTTTATTAGTTACATCATTGTTGTAACGCGAGTGTGTGGGACTGCAGGTTATGCTAGACAGCGTTTATATCGATCGATTACAGTAGACACGGAAAACACGTATGGACGACCTTGTGCCCTGATTGGTCCCGCTTCGCAGTCTGTCCTAGCCAGTTGAGTCAAGAACGCAAGTCACAGCCTCTGAGTTATGAATCGTTGTATTTCAGACATACTTTGTTTATATACCAATCAAGCACACCACATCGTACCATAAAATAGGAAACAACATTTACAAAATATTTAACAAGTGAAATAAACATCGACCAATAGGAAATGTACATTTAAGGTCCAAGGACACCATAGACTTAACACGATAATTATTGGTATATTTTTCCGACTATCCTAACAATCATATAACCAAAGGTTTTTTATTGGATCATCTAATGTTATATGATTATAGAAATTTATCACTTTCATTGATGGTAGCGACTAACTCTCCGAAAATAAACGAATTAAATAACTTGACTGGAGACTAAAAATAATTCCGCCTCTAAATTCTTAAGGACGGGCTTGCAGGTTTTTCACTTAATTTCTATCACGTAGACATTATTGAATGAGACTTATAACTTGGTTAAATGTTATCATTCTGAGTAACTCCATATAACCATTCAATTAAAACACCGTCAATTTAACAACTACCAACGGTATAAAGACGGAAATTGAAATACCAAGTGACTGAGAATACTGCATTTTGAACATACTAGTCAGCGGATCAAACCAGTGAATTGTTATGTGGTATAACGATTTACTTTATATAAACTAAATCTCCCAATAAAATCCATATGTAAATTGTTAACTCAGTTTATATGATGAATTTTTAATCTATTAAAACAAAAATAGGTTTGTGAATGTGTATGCTCTGAGTAAGGCTGTTAGAACATCATCCTGATAAATCCAAACATTGAAGAGATTTGGTTTGATTTATGTTTTCGAATGTATAATACAAGATTAGAACCACTGTTTGTATTCCTTCAAGACTAGTTGACACTTGATATACCTAATAAAGTGAATGTCAAAGAGTCGCAATAAATAAGTAGAATTTAATTTGTACAATCATAATTATTCTACGAGGTATTGTCGTGTTACACAACTGTTTGAACCTCGAAGTAGTTGAAACAGTATTCGGACTTATGATTCACTGGTTGAAAATGTAGTATTTGTGCCACAGATCCGCATGTGATCCCTACCTGTACAATTGCATCATTCCAAATATCTTGCAAAAAATGAAATGTCACAGAGACAATTTCCAGATACTTTCCAAACATATGTGGTACAGCTTGCTAACTCGTTCTGCTTGGTTATACGGATACTAGTAATGGTTATTTAGGGAAAAATACGTATTTGTTGACTAATATTCTTTAACTGTACGTCATATCAGAATTAATTTGTGAACAAATCAATCATCACGTAGGTCATTTACTAAGTTTAGGTTTATATACTTGGCTTCAAGACGCTATCTGTTAAAGCTAATGATACTCAGCTGCTCAAATTGAAGTAGATGCAAGTTCCGAACAAACAAATTATTAGTTAGATCCTAATTGCTTTGATGTCAACAAACCATTGCTTCTCAATCAGTCATAAAGTGTCAGACCTCCACTGTGTACAGTTTGATGGACTGAAATGAAATCAACCCGTGAGGTTGTATCAAATTACCAGACAGTGAAGCTTCTAATTCTAGTTACTTACGGTTAAAATACAATGGCAATATGTCTAACAGTTGGTCTTTTCGTATGTTTCAGCTTGTAAAGTATCGGACCAGCAATTTATTGGTATCTGGTTCAAGTGCTCTTTACCGCTTTAGATGACTCCATAGTTGTGTAAATACAACACTGTAGTGTCAGTTATTATGCCAAGCCTATATACCTTATTCGAGCTTTCGGACATTCCATTCTATTCATTTTACTTGAGCCATACATTGACCTTGTTATTTATTCGCTTATCAATCTAGACTGTTTTTATATGAGCGTATATGTGTGTGCCCTTCTTATTCCATTAATCACATGTCTGTAGCTTTATTTTGTCTGATTATAAATATTGAGTAACGCTTGACAAAGATGGAGTTGGCTTCCCAGCCATCTTCCATACGTGTCATTTTGCTCTGCTCTGTTTCATTCGCTTCATATACAAAATATATGTATTCACAAGTCAATTTCGTTATTCGACTTATTTAATTCCGTTATTGGATAACGCGATTTAAGTCGACGATGATATACGAGGAAAGGCGACAACAAACATTCGTACGCTCTAAAAAGGAGTCAGATCAATAGGCCACTAAAACACATCTCACTTAAAATGATCTTAATTTCATCCTTAGAACCATTTTCACCCGTAATTTACATCATAGATGGACTTAATCTGGACGACCATCGAAAGCCAAAGGGGAGAGAACAATGAGGATGATTGTCTTTCCAACATTATCCACTAAAATGAGACAGCTGTTCAGTATCCTCTTTTTCAGTTGTTGTATCTAGCTAAAATCATTCTTCACACTAAACAATATCCATAAGCCTCCTATTAATAACATATATTTTTTTTTCAGAATGCTATCAAAAAGTTTATTTGTAAAACTAGAATACAACCATTTGGATAGTTATCCATGGACTTTATGTTATCCCCATTAACTCCCAGTGGTAAGAGGTGATCATGACTTGATATTATTTTGACAACAATAACACATTCATAAGCATTAAATCCAGATTTTTGTTTTACGCTACATTGGTAAGAATATAATACAATTCAACAATTTCTTTTGAATATCATCAGAGAGCGGAAATAATGTATAACCATATACAAAAGTTTACATCGTTCTGATTAGTATCAACATGATGATACATGCTATCGTTCTATTTTTTCAAGAAAAAAACAACCTCTGAAATAATTGGATTCAAATGGAATAGAGAATTACTTAAGATATGATTTTTAGTAGATGAGAAATAAACACTAAGGTGTATAATATTAATATTTTTGTATTTCGAGTTATTTACATTGTGAATTTTGTATAATAGTTGTAAATAAATAATATTACTTGTTAATTTTTCAAATTCTCACACATGAATAACTGTACTCAAACCACAATACATTTTAATAACCTTGTATAAATTTATGTGTTATACTACACACTTAGCTGTTCAAGAAAATTAATAACGAGATGGTGGGAAATATTTTTTAGCTCGGTTAAATGATTTTGGTGAAGTTGCATCCTCTGTACTCGGTGTTTTGATTATGAAGCTTCCATTGTTTTTAGATACATCATCAGTTCACAGAATGGAACCTCACCAAGAATAGTAATACAATTTGTGTGAAAAATCCTCACAGACAAAACATAGTCATGGCTTATTGATTAGTAGTCCTAACTAAACCGATATTCGAACGAGCAGACATAATGTAACATAATCCATGTTCCTGATGTTAACCTTAAGACATTGTCGTTTGAAGTCGATCTACACTACCTGTTTGACGTCAGCTAAAATGAGGTTACACTTTGAAAACTAGGTTAAATCAGCAATTAATAATTGTGTGGTTTAGTGTTACTTGATTAGTTAATCAGAGATGTCCATCAGTACAAATTTACTCTAAATTATTGTACCCTGAGATATAAATTTTGTGAGCCCCCAAATGCCCTGGTACGGCCGAGAGTGGGGAAAGTCCGCTCTCACATGGCCACGCGTATATAGCATCTGCCAGGGAAGTCCTACTCACTGCCTTCTCGTGGCGGGGGTGTTGTTTATGAAAATCAGAGGACGAAAAGCGAATGTCCGGCGCTATAACCGGATCCCAAGCCAATGGTGCACATGGACTCCAGTATCCTGCGGGGACAAATGGAGTATGAACCGATTGTTGGTCACCGTCTTCCATGGGACTGAATCTCCTTACGATGCTTCACTGCCTTGTGGATCAAACCTTCAAGTCGAAGGCTCGGGGTGTGGCCCCCTAAGAAAACCACCTGCTTCGGTTTGGGAACCTGGGCAGTATCACAGCCCTCACACATATCGAATGAGATTTGTGTGGCGCACATGTATTTGGTGCCTCCTTGTACCAATATCTGTGTTAAAATAAATAAGTAAATAAATTTTGTGAATGTATGCGACTTACTTTGAGCCCAAGCTAACAATCTTCATTATACTAAAGCCAAGCTCCATGTTATGCCCTCCATACTTTAATTGATATGCAGTTTAGCTATCCTCACCTGCAATGTCTCAACTATAGGTAACGTTACACTAGCCGAATTTGTCATTGTACAACTGAAATCTCTGAATCAATCCCGCCTACGATTTCATCAGTGACTGGTCTGTGGATAACCTTAATTGATCCAAGTGCTCGATATGCATTAGTCATTCCTTACGGATCAGAAATAGAGTTTACAGTTAGTAGTATTGACGAAGCAATTTCTTAGAAAAAAAATCCCAACGGATTCTCATTGTGATATTAAAATAAACCTTGTCACTATCTTCCTCACTCAAATTGAATGAAGGAAATAGTAGTTTTCATGGGAGACAACCTATTGATCACATCACAAGGATACTGGGTCTTTAATCCGAAAAGAAAAATTAAATACTCTGACGAGATATACATAGTAATTAATAAAATAAACGTTCGCTAGAAACTTCATCGAATACAGATAGAGTCTGTGCCTGATTTGAAATATGATCAAAAGTGGATATATACGTATATTTGTAAAGTTTTCCTCTCAATTTCGGTCAACATTGTTTGGCCTGTTGAATTTCCGATAATAATTGTTCCCAATTAAAGTTTCTATTCGGTAATTCTGCTGTGTTTTTCTGAAAAAGTTGGTCATCATATTGTGGACCAACGCCCCAGAGTGATTCTAAATCGTACTTTAATCTTGTAGAAGGTAGAAACAAATGAAGAAAAATGGTGCCTGAAAAGAAGACACACAAAGATAAAAGGTTAATTTGCAGTTATCATCACTAACTTTACAAAGACACGAATCATTAAGTGATCTTCAGTGCTGTTAGAGTAGTTGTCCCGCCAAAAAGGGTGCTTCTTTAGGAACCTGAAAAAAACTGGGTTAGAAGTGGTCGCGACGACCCAGAAGCGTGGTTGTAGCGCTTAGAAGACAACCGCCTGAGGCCGGTCATGCACGACCCTTTGGTACTTTTAGTTGTGCTAGCCTCGTATATTTACGGCCTCATCGCCGGCGATAGGAATCTGTCAGGTAAGGTGTTCTATTTCCAGGGCTGGAATGCAATTACACTAATTATGGGATTTCCTTAGATTCAGTCATTATTGATGCAAGGGGTGCATCGGTCCAAGTTGTCACATCCTACGAAGTCAACATAGAGGACAAAGCAATCAGCAAGATGAGAAGCGTAAGATAGTAAATAGTATTTAGAACAGTGAATACATAAGCGTGAATAATACGGTTCGAAAGGAGCAAACGCATCTGAAAGATGGAAATTCGGGAATAACTTCCTAAAATCACCTAACATCAGATCATAGTGTATGCAATGTAGAGTCAGCTAGACTAGTGACCACATTACAACTTTATCGACAGAATTCGATCAACATTAAAGGACTAAACAAATGTATATTACTAATCAGTAGTCAATCAATTGTACTTTTCTCAATAGTAACATCTCAGACTAGGGAATTAAGTGACACGGGTTTAAATCCCACAATGAGCACCAGTCCTCCTAAAATTACAAGTATGCCCCGATGACGAGCGCCAATTAGCATGGAACCCAGGTCTATGGTTTTCTACTGACTACTTCCGACAACTAAACAGATTGAGAATAACTAAGACCATGACGGAGGATGAGTGCAACTGTACACTCCAAAAGAGTACGACTTACACATGATATTTAAATATTCAAGTAGCTACTGATGACGGTACATGTCTAAATAATCTTACCAATAAATTGGATTAATTTAAAGAGAATCTCACCACATACATATTTGAATACTATTTATTTTAATATCTCGTCGGTCATGACAAAAAAGGCATTTTGTGTTCTTGAGAAGACGGAGTTGGATAGTTTTCGTGTACCTTTTTAGTCACTAATCTTCACGTTGGTTAGATTCAAAACTATCATTAATTATTACAATCCACTACATGTGTACATCATCTACTGTTATACAATGAAAAAAGATACTTTAAAACAAAGAGTGCGAGTTTGTGTGCAAAAAGTCTACGAACTATATTTTTTTTGCAAAATTATCTAATTATAATCGTGATAGGTGTTATATAGCTTGAGATAGGTCACACTGGCGTAAATGTACTCATTCTTAATCGTCGTCTTTCAAATCTTAAGCTTCAATATTACCTCGTACTTATCATTCTTGGGACTTATTTTTCCCAAACTATACTGGATGATAGTATTTTGACTCCTTTAATTTCTACCTTTGTGATTTTTCATCGGTATCTACTGACATGAAATATGACAATTCAAACTAGTGCAGAATTAATTCATTTTTGTATTGGTTGTTTGAATCTTCCTATTGATGTTTAGGGCTGCAACTGATCAGTCTCCTATTGGTATATGTGCATCCTGTGAGGATTACCTTGATATTGCATTAAATGACAAGCATTATGAACAGAGAGATTTAAGGCAATATCGAGCCAATCCGCACATGATGTACATATGCCAATAGGAGACTGATCAATTGCAGTTCTAAACATCAATAGGAAGATTTAAACGATCAATACAAAAATGAATTAAAATTTCACCCCACTGCACAATCTAGTGGCTATTTGGACTTAGTAGCTAAGAGAATAGTGCGATGGCATCTGAAGCGAGTGGACATCAACTCTGGGATGCAGGTACATCGAGCCGACGAGTCCCAGGTAGGACGAAACGCGCCCTGGATTTCACTGCTAGACATCATCCATCTTTGCCTATAACGCTGAATTACTTCAGGTGCTACGTTGCTTATAACAGATCGTCATAATACTAATAGTCAGTCAGTCAGTCAGTAACAACGTAGAACTTCGTACGTACGTACATCAGTTCGAGTTGCCACACCACATTAGCACAGAGATGCAGTTGTCGATTCAAATCCCGTAGTGGTAGAGGTAATAAGAGTATAAGCAGTAATCGGGAAGATTAGGGTTTGGAGATGTTATTTAAAGAGTATAATCCAGTGAAAGAAATTTGGAAAGAGGAAAAAAGGGACATGAAGAATTCAGAAGATTAGAATTTGGGAGAACACAGAGAGTGGATGCACCTGCGCCATTGCAAACGATTTTGAGCCATGTCATTCAGGGTCTCTAACCATCGGTTGCTGTCATCTCGCGGTCCCCAACCAGGTAGTCTACACCTACCAACATGACTCAGTTCACTTGTCAGTGACTTCATGGACTTGTGCCATGTTTTGGTTTGGCCGCCCCTAGCTTTCTTCCAACCTACTCCTATACCACTGAACATAGCACGTCGAGGCAGTCGGTCGTTGGGCATACGTAACACGTGTCCCAGCCATCTCAACTGATGAAGTTTCACTACTTCATCAATTGATTTGCCATCCTTACCTAGTACCCGTTTCCTAACAACTGTGTTACTTACTCGATGGTCCCATGATATATGAGCAATGTTTCGAAGACACCTATGATCAAATACTAGTAACCTACGGATA